ACCAATCCCTTTGCTTCATAATTTGCTCAGCAAATGAATGAATACGAGCGTCAGGAACGGTCGTCCGTTTGTGGGCGGGCGGGCGAGGAAGGCGTTTGGGACGGAATGTTGTTGCTCGATAGGGCGTTATAGGGGTACCCTCCTTGGAAAAGGCGCCACGGAGCGCCTGTCACGGAATTCTGTTAAGCCAGTCGTATAAATCCTACATCTGTATAGCGATTTATCGTGCCAACTGCCTTTAAGAACCGTGGCTCTAATCGGAAAGTGCGTAGTTAAGGGTGAATGGTGCCGAAGAAAGCTGTGCTCACGAAACTTCAAGACAACTATACCTCGAGTTTCTCGACACCTCCATACCACCACGCCATCTCTTTGCGTTGGTCATCCGTCGCAGCCAAATACTCGTCGACGCTGATCTTCTTGAACGTCATCGTACCATCCTCGTTCTCAACCATTCGCGATACTACAACAAGAACTTGTACATAAGCGACATCACTGCACGTTCCTCTAGTGAATCAAAATTCATGTAACAAAGCTGTGAAGCGGTTTCATAGGGGCAAGGAATGAGTCCGCCCGCAGCTGCTAGCAGTGTGGGATGTCCAATTAGAAAACAACCACAGGCAGGAAACTCCGCTGTTGGGCTCACTCCGGTCCTCTGACACCTCCCGGCCAGACTGCGACGATGTGAACTGCAGGTATCATAGACACAAATCAATTGCGATAGGCGGTCAAGATGGGAGGGAAAGGGAGTTTTGTCGTACAACATAATAATTTCAGAATTTCTCACCCTCTTTCACAACAATTCCTCCACCTTGATACCTAGCAAAGAGCAACACGAACAACGGTTAAGGTTATCGTGTTCAACTGGGAGGCCCTTTGAAACTGAGGCGATAAATCGCCTGCTCCGTTGAAGGCACACCCGCGTGGGCCGTTCGGGTGCGAAGCTGCCATGGCCGATGGTTGCAAGATGGAAGTCGATCCATAGCGCAGCATCCTTCCATATCTAAGAACCTGTACTGCGCAAATCCTTATGGTCGAAAAGAGGAGCTTCCCACTTGCGATTCTGGATGGCACAAGATAGGTGTTTTCGATAACGTAAGACCGCGAAGGTGTCCTTCACGAACGAAGAGCAAGGCAGAAGACCGCCGCCAGGGAGAAAAAACGAGTACGGGGGTCTCTAGTGGGACGCCACGTTCTTGTTCTCCCATCCGAAATAAGTGATTCTCCACAAATGATTGCCGTTGCCACGGTTAAATCGAGCAACGCGACTGGGAAATGCCGGCCAGCTAACCTAATGTTTCTGTTTTCTGCTACGCAACCTCAGTCTTTTTTTTTTGTTGTCGGTTTTGAGGACTTTAGACCTAAGTTGACAGCCTGAGGAGCAGGGAGACTGTTGGAGTAGAACTCTTCGAACTAAGCCTTCCCTAGCGGTTCAGTCCAAAAGAGGCTGCAGGGACTTCTACAGGATGTTAAAGAACCATAAAGAAATTGGCGCGAGTTGCCTCTTATACACAGAGCACCGCTAGAGCCGGCCGTGGTTACAGCAGCCAGTCACATGAGCAAGCCGATAACATTTTGGGAAACATAAATCGTGCCAGGGGAGTTCGAGCAAGAAAGGTAGCGACTGATGTTGCCAAAGCCAAACTAAATATCATTCAAGAAGTGCGCACGATTGCTGGAGGCTTGTAGCTGTTGCCAGAAGCACTGGTGAAAGGATATGCGATGGGGCGTTTGGCCACACCCCACTCGGCCCTTCCACCAATGACGATGGCGACAACCGCCCGCCCCAGCCGTGCCCACTGGCACTCAGGGTCGGGAGAACAAGGCTGCGGTCATCGCAATGAAATGACGTTTTAGCGCAGAAATTCACGCGCGCCGAGCAAGTTCCAGCTTATTGCAGTAGCTCGGATCCCTTCCACACAACCTGTTCATACTCGTGTTTAGTGGAAGTAAAACTTGGGACGTACCAGCGACGACGAAGGCTCGACAAGGATTCACGCCATGGTAGGCACGACGACATTTCACACAGAAACAGAAGCCGCACGCAGCACACGTGGCCAACGTCGAGGTACTGAAACAGTACAACATCGATCAGTTACTTCAGAAATTCGAACTCAGAGCTCAGAAATGGGCGCCGGCTGGGCTCCTGATGAGGTGATACACTTACGAACTACTTTTTGACGCAGGATTTTGACATCGAACACGAGGACAAAGGAAAATGTCATCCATACGGGACAAAGCACTTGAGAGAATGATCTTCTGGTAACGTTCGAACTGCTCCTAAAATGGGAAAAAATGCCTAAGAAATCAAAGAAACAACGAGCGGGTGTTCCTCAGCTGGACGTATGCCTTCACACCACTCCACTACACAGGGGCTCATAAGCTCTAGAGCTCTGAAGCAGAGGAAATCATTCTTGGAGAAAAAGCAACTCAATACGGGCCCACCCTAGCTTCACCACACGGCTCAACTCCTCCAACTTCCTAGGAGAGGTAATGGAGAACCCCGGTATCTGTAGTAATCACCATGATACTGACAATTTTAGCGAACCACGAGAATAAATACTATCCCTGAAACGGGAAAAACCAATGTCTTGATACTCTCCCAAAATTCTCACACCCAAGATGCATGGGCGCACTCAATCATCGTGCCGTCTTTGTGAGTACCCCCCTCGTTGCTGTGAAGAGGAGGAAAGGCTGTGTATCGCCGCCCATTTCACTGCTCAACAGGCTATCATGCAATGTGCCTTTGAAGGGTGGCTCGTTGGTCAAGGCTGAGCAACACCTCCAACTTCGCTGGTTGAGAGACAGTGGACGGGAACTGGGTCGCAGCTGTGGTGCGCTAAAGCGGTTTCCTTGAGAACCCTCCCACTGGTTAGAGGAAGTTTGACCTCCCCTAACCATAAGTGTAAGCTGGCCGGAGCTTCTGTAGCCGACTGATGGGCACTAATCTTCTCTGGGTGGCCAAAGACACCGGCCTGACCCTAGCTGGTCAACATCTGCTGATGAGCGCGTGAAACCAAGTGTTTTCAAACGCCTCACCAGTGGGAGGGTTCTCAATCCCCAACAGAAATGGA